TATATATATATATATATATATATATATATATATATATATATATATATACATATTACATCACAGCAACTTTGTTTGTTGTACGCTACTTAAAGCTTAACAACAAGTATCTAGAAGCTCTTTTGCGATAGTACGCGAATCATAATATATTAACTCCTTGAACGTTAAGTTTCGCATTGAGTATTAATTTAAGACATAATCGAAGCATTCTGTAATTAGAATTGAAGCGACTGCGAAAAACACGTCGACGACGACGACAAAAGACAGAGACAGAAAGATAAAGAATCTTGCTATAACAAATTTTCTTTCTGTACAGGAGAAGCATGAAGTAACGGACACGGGTCCATTATTGCCCCGGAGGGCTTTCCAGCGTCTGGAGGCACAAGACCGGTGACACGGAGAAAATACGGCATGGATTTCCCGAAACGAGAATGGAGTCACAGGCTCAGTCTTCGCGGCAGCCGAAGAGCTCACGAGGTAACTATATTCCGTCGAGAATTGCATTATTTAAAATATTCAACATAATCGGGACTTGTGCGCAAAGTATACTGTCAAAAAGTAAGAGAAATACGTTATTAAGTATTAAGTAACGTTATATTAAGTAATTCTTCGATATCTCATCGAATATTTGTTGCGAAGTCTTTATGGTATTAAAATTAAATATTGTTGCAAAAATAATAATGCCAAATTTATTAACAAAAATTTTTTTTTTTTTTTTTCAACTACAAAGCGCGTCAGTTCTAGTCATAGTTAAGTATGCTTGAGAATTAATATCCTAGTTTTGTATTATCGATTATAATTATACTTCCTAATTGCGTGCCGAGCTTCCGTTCTACGTTCACGCGATTGCAGATAAAAAGAAATAAAATAAAGACTGTGTGTGCAAGTTCCACACGCGAGGGATGCATGCCCTTGCATACATTAGTCTATAAACGGGTTTTTCATTCTAAAGGTTTGCGTATTCATTCGCCACATCATACGTCGTTGAAGCATACTTTTCATACGTATCGTCACGAGATATCATGTTATGAAAGCGTTTGAACGAGCTCGAACGTATGTATTATTTTCGGAGCGTGTAATTGCTTTATGTTATATATCTCCCGATAATTACAGATTGACATAAACGTAATTCAATCGTTGCATATGTGCACATTCGTAATAAAATTTATATTGTCATCACTTTCATCAATATTAATATTGATATTAATATTGTATATTCGAAAGCATAAAATTATTTTATACGCCATGACATACTATAATATACACTCGATATTAAAATGAGGTATGCGACGGTATGACGACAATATAATGGCATCTGTATGAAAATAAATTAACAAAATCCAATATTCTGTGTTAATTTATACAACGAAACAGATATGTGAAAATATAGATTAAAGAAACATTTTTACGCTATCAGATGGAGAGAGAGAAAGAGAGAGATCACGTGCTATCATATATACATGGTAAAAATATTTTTGATTATATATATACATCGCGAATTATTTTGAAAAAGCCAAAAAAGTTTTCTCCACAACAGTGATATAAAGCTATGCAGAGGAGAACTCGAGGATAAATTCGTCGACACAACAATCTCATTACGAATTATAGAGATATATTCGACGGTATAACAACGTGCCAGGTGGCATGTTATCAGCCCATCAGCGAGACACACATTGCACGCATATGTTAAGAACGCGTCGACGATGGATAAAGGCATTACGGTACTAGATGTTCCGAGTGTTTAGAATTTTATCTAGCTTCGTGAGCAGACAGCGAACGTCCATTAGCGCGTTTTATTCGTTTTATCATCGTCGCACAAGCGGCGCCTAACAAACGTATCATTAATTCGATGTCTCGTTAAGATTCGTTTTTCCCGGCATTTCAAAATCCTCAAATACACATTAATATAATAATTTTTACTCGTGTAAATAATACCGCGAAATTTTTCAATACAATGAGACGAACAAAAATAAAATCAGTTATTATTTAATTCTCTCGGTTCTCTTATATATTCGCGATTTGACAGATCGAAGAAAAACGTTGGAGCTCGATAGAGTAGATCACTTATTCCGAATTCAATCGGATGAAGCAGTGCGTACTAATGCACATTAAAGAACGTCATACGCAAATTGACGTAAAGGGCGTATGCATGGTAATCTGTATTATCGTATATAAGCAGTTGGATTCGCAAGATACAATTTATCACATTGGTTGGATATAATATATATTGGACATCTGTTTAGTTAAGATTTATATTTTCACATTCAAGTGAATGATATTTAATCTGTACTCCATAGCGTAATTTATTGCATTATTAGATAAATTACGAATTCTTATACATCTAATAAAACACGAAATATAATAAAGAATCTAAATAATGATAAGACTTTAAGCGATGAATAGAAAGATGACAACGTCATAATCTCGCAGTCGGAGAGATATATATAATGCTCTTTAAAATGGAGGCTGGGTAAACGCAATGCGATTAACTCGGCGCGACCAACATTAAACAGCACGTTTAAATGACATTAACAGGGCACTTGTGAACGTGCGAATCACTCTCGCGATAATCGTACAACGTTCTCGTAATGAAACGACATTATCGCGTTTTTCTTTAACGTTCTCCTTTCTTTTATAATATATTATTTTATATCGCAGTTTAATATGCTCGTTCGCTCAGGTATTTGCCGGCCAAAGAATGCACGTAATATTCCTTTTCTGGTATAATTTCTAGCTGAGGAAGCAAAATCCGCTTTCCCGTTACACGCATTTTACCCCGATGTTGCGCACATAATTTACCGCAACTAACTTGTCGTACAATGTGTATTCGTGTAGCATATACGCGAAATACCGCGAGACGTACGTTCATTCGAGCAAAAGCTCGCCTTAAATGCATTTCACGCCGTGCGATTCCATTTACCGATATAGAGAAATATTGGAAAAATCCTGTATTTACTGTACGTTACGTAACTCATTATCTATTAATAGCCATTTCAGAGGAAAATATTCCACACAATTAATTTGAAATATAACAGAGCAGTCTTATAAAAAAAATGAATACTAAATAAAATATAATATTCCAAAAAATTAAATACGCGATTACATACAAAAAAAAAAAAAAAAATTAAAATACTAAGACGGTACTTGAAAAACCAATTTATCAGTCTTATGAGATAAAAGTTATGTTTTGAGTAATTAATCTGGCTGACTAGAAATTATAAAGAGGGAATATTCGAATAAGATAGTAAATTAATACGTGTATTCGTAGATGTTAATTGTGCTTTGTAACGCTGTATAATTAAAAACATGCTGTCAGATACGTTTATATAATAGTATATTTCCCACCGTGCATTGTGCTCGATTATTACGCGGTAGAAACCTCGAACAATTAATTTTCATATATTGTCTCTTTATTATCATACGGCAATAATGATCCTGCAGTTGCCGTAATACTTTTCCGTTTCTTCCACATTTTTTTCACGACATCTCATTAACACATATTTCTGCATAAAAACATCTCTTATAGCGTCTTCCATTAGGAAAAACTCACTTGCACTGGCACAAGTTAAATGAGTAGTGAAAAAGTTGAAAAGGTTGAAAAAGTGGGTAGAAGATGCATGAGTTACAAGTACGCGTTTCGATAAATGACTCGCACGTGATGGGACAATGAATGCAACGAATGAGGAATATATTATGTGGGCAAAGCGTTAAAACTTACTAATAGCGTCTTCCATTGGGAAAAATTCGCAGCACTGAGCGCTTGAAGCGTATTTTGTTGATAATATTAAGTATAATATTATCAACGAAATATATTATATTAGTGCAAGATGATCTCAGTGCGCACTCCCAATTAAATGTGCAGCCCTCAGAACATACTCATTAATATTACCAATGAAATACGCTTCAAGCACTCGGTGCTGCGAATTTTTCCCAATGGAAGACGCTATTAGTAAGTTTTAACGCATTGCCCACATAATATATTCCTCATTCGTTGCATTCATCGTCCAATCACGTGCGAGTCATTTATCAACGCGAAACGCGTACTTGTAATTTATGCATCTTCTACCCACTTTTTCAACCTTTTCAACTTTTTCATCACTCATTTAACTTGTGCAATATAAAATCGATTTATTTTATATACTTCTTTTAAAAATGTTTTAGAGTTTTCGAATATGTATCTTACAATTTATCTTACCCGGCATATCATGCTCAAACACACTTTTCTAGGAATCTTCTATCTATTATTAGCTAATATATTTTAGGCAACACTCTGTGACAAAAATTTAAATAAATATAACATTTTTTCCATTAACTTCAAAAGTATATTGACCTCGCAATAAATAATTATAAATGAAATAGTTTATTTTAAATGAAACATATTTGCTTTTACAGCTCCGTAACACAAATACTAATATATAGTGTGTTTCTATATTATTTAAATATAATTGTTACATAAGATATTTTCATAAAATTGATAGATCTCACATCGTTATCTACATCGTTTGTTGCTGGCGTTTACTGCGTAAAGTATATATACCTTTCTTAGAATATTTCCCCGATACTCGATCGTTACAAATGTCGTTCGTCTTGCGACCAACATAGAAAAGCGCACGTACGTCCGTTAGAGTAAATAAAAAAGTGTCCTGCGTCAGGCATGTCGGGAAACACGAAGAGCGTTGGTTCAGTGAAATACGCGATGAAATATAGCATTTGTAACGAGCCGTCTTCGTGCGAGTTTCCCTAGCTAATCAGCACGAACGAACGTCCGTGGAAAAGTTGAATAATTTAAGAGCGGCAATTTCCGGTGCATGCGCAACGATCGGTAATGCAAGCTGCTTTGCTCGTAATAAACGATTATGAATCGATATTATAAGTGACTTCATTAAGGAACTGATCGAATCGCGAAGAAACGTGAAATAAAAATGTTCAACAAATGCAAATACTTTCAGATAATTAATGGACATACTAAAAAAAAATTTCTTGTATGTTTATTCAGACATGAAAATCTCTCTTCATTTCTTATTCGATTTACTGATATATTATGTACTATTACATAATGTTTTGATATTGTTAAGCTATTATGTGTGATATTATACATTGATAACTTGCCATACAGATAATTAATATTACCGAACATAATTTTAATATATGTTCGATTAACTGAATGCAATCTTTTTTTATTTGATAAACAAAATTAATTATGCTTCATTCAATATACTCGATAATTAAAGTTTATCGATGAAAAAATACGAAATGAACGTAGTACAATCCAGAACAATCAATTGTGTGAATGCAAAGGAAATTGCGTTAGCATTTTCGCTTAATCAACGGAGTGCAGAGTAGAAAGAAAAAAAAAAACGTTTGATACGATTACAAACACGAGAAATATTTTATAAGTAATAGAGCAACAAATGTACAACGTCATTTCGTTTTTCCATTTAAACATGCCGTGTAATTGATGCACTTCTTTTGTTCGCGAAAGCATAAATTAAGAGGATAATATATACAAAACGATTCCCTTTTATAAGAATAAATCTAAAATTTCATTGCAATAATTGCATTAGAATTTAGGAAAAACCCGTGAGTTTGCAAGATTTAATTATAAATAAAATAATAAATAATTACACGAACATTGAAACGAAGATTCGCGTAGTAACATAAAATAAATGTCATCAATCGAGTGTATGAATTTCGTGTTCTCTTCAAGATGTCATTATCTGAATGTGTCAAAATATTTGCAGTACATTTAGCTGGGGGCACTTAAGTGAAACATGTCAGTGAATGCGTCGACACGAAAGTAGAATAATACCAGACAGTACAAGGCGGGACTCCTCTCTCTCTTTACGTTTCTTCTGGGAAATCGTTGGTCATAATAGAGCAATTTTTGCAGAGCACGATATTAATAAAAAGCATACAGTACACAATACCAAGCAGGTTACAACGCGAGAAACGCTCGTCGGTCCTGTATTTTATTGAAATACCTTTTTCATTCGTTGGAGCTTAAAGAAAGATCATAGACATTTCAACTTCTTCCCCGCGAGTCCACGAAAAATAAATGCTAACGATAATATAAATTAAATAATTATATTTTTTAACACTATTAAAAATAATACTTTTCGCGTGATATTTTTTTTTCGCTAAAATTAAGAGAATATACAGTGTTAAAAAATTCGGATTTTCTTCTGATGAGAAAATATTTCCTCCCGAAGCGCTCAGATATCAAACTGTTATTTTCCGTCATATTCAGAGATCAAAAGAAATATTTGATCCGCACACAAAACGCCGCAGAATTAAGAAACGCATTACGCGACGTATATAATATCGTTATCGCGAAAACTGAATAAGCCCGCAACGAAGCGATGAAAGCTCTGCCGTTGGAAGTTTCGCCGAGCTGAAAACTGGTTGGTAAGCACTGAGATGATACACGAATGATACACGAAGGAGAGCGTGAAATCGGAAGACGAAAACATGTAAGAATGTATATCGTACAAATGTCTGAAATAAGAATGGAAAACTCGCGCGACAGGATTATCGCGACATGTGTACAAATAGTCAGATCACGTATACGCGTATATACGCATGTGTGTATGAAAAGAGTTAAATCTTGCGTGTCACGTTTCAGTTTCGAAACAGAGAATAATATAATAATTTACTTCAAAACAGCAATTTGATTTCGAGAAAAGCGAGACAATCTATGTATCAGAAATATTTGTGCATTATCATATTTATTGATTTATATTATATACTATTATTATTCATATATTTTATATATTATCTTACATTATATTTATTTAATTTTTATCTCTCCATACTTTTGTTATCACTTTACATTTTTTATTATATAACTAACCAAAAAAAAGTTTACGTATCGTATTTAACTTGAATTTTTTGTAGAAATGATATATCACATCTTTCTAATAAAAAGTTATCTTTGCAAAAAAGAAAAGGTTGGGCTCGTTTGGATTAGCTGTATCAAAAGATAGAGATATATTCTAATCTCAGTGCTAATAGTAGAATATATAAATAAAAGAAATATTACGAGGTTATCCCTTAATCCTAAAAGTCCAACACATGAAAAACGTAATTTAAATAATTATACTAAATTTCAGCGTATATGAGATTAATGTCAATCACACAGCGACCTAATCGGACATTGCTGTTGAGATAAAATTACTGCGTCATTCACTAATATGGTCATTAACATATTTGTCAATAATGTGAAATTATTGGACGCTAAAATATGAGCAATATTGTCCTATTTAAACTCATCAATTATACTTTCCCCGTTTATATGTTTTCAATGCATGTTTAATTCAACAAATCCTACATTACATTATCACTCTTATCGACCGTCGCAGTTTCGGAAAGAATGAAAAATCGTCTGACTTACTCATACTGAAGAATCTACGCTGTTGCCTTTTCTTTATTAATCCATTGTTTTCAAATAATTTGCTCCCACGCACTGGATATAAGAGAGAGATCGTCTATCATTTCGTACCGCACATTCACTTTCACGCACTGAACACAAATCAATCGACATAGTACGAATAGTTCTGATCCCGCACGTTGACACCGATCGTCTGTCATTTCGTACCGACCTTCCGACACATATTACCCGACATGAGACGACTCGAAGGGAAAAAATAATATAGCGACCCGCGCGCGTCGGCTGTTGTTTGTTGACAATACGCGCGACGTGTACTAAGCGGCAAAAAAAGTTTCACGGCGTCGACAATTTAATACGCGAACGCGCGAATTTTTGCGAAACGAAGCGATACACATCCAAAAATTTTCGTCGAGCAATCAATAATTATTTGATTAATTATTATATATCAAAAAAAATCTCGGCACTTGATACAGACGCATTATAAACGATGAAAAAGATTCGAAAAAAAGAAGACTTTGAATGAAAATCTCTCCCGAATCTTTCTACGTGATATAGAACGACAATTATGATTTCTATTTTCTACGAAAAGAAAAGCTCAACCCTTCTCTTTATTTTTGCCTTTTTTCCTTCTCTCTTTCTCCATTTAACATTTTAGGATTGGCTTTGTTTAAAGAGTGCGATACGATGTAAAGAGAATCGATCGATAAGGGTGCAACACATTGTTATGTGTTAAAAATTAGAATAAAAATCAGATAAAAATCAGAACGTTCAATCCGAATGTTGCATATTATTATTAAGAGAAGTATTATTAAAAGAAAATAATATATACATATTTCTTTTCTTTTATTCCATCCTCTTTAAACTTTGAATTCTTATTGATAGTTAAAATATTATTTTTTATATTCATTTTTTGAAATTAATACATTCAGTAAAATAAATTAAATCGCGAATATAAAATAAGATAAAGATAAAATAAGCAATCTACAATACTATATATATAATAAAATTGATATCTTATAAATTAATACCCTCCTTAATTATTCTTGCGCTCTCGAAATATTTAACGGAAAAGGTTCCGAAGATCTTTCCAATTTAAACTCAATATGAATGTTAATAATTAAATTAAGTATACAGCCATCTTCTATGCTCCGGTACAATGAAATCAGCTTCGAATAATTCAGCGCGAACTCGCTCACCTTTATTTGCGAATCGTGTAATAAGACAACTCCGGGCGCAAACTTTATTTATGCAAACTTGCGTGGTATGCGAGGATTCTCATTGTTCGAGGTTCTATACATACATGTATGCGCCGCTACGGAAAATGCATCATCGAGAGGCATTGAAGATGGCATAAAGTTCCGGGAAAAAAAAAGAAAAAAAAAAGAGAGAGGAAAAGGCCAGGAAAGCCGGGAACGATGCGGCATGTTTATGGACCATGATTTCAATCCCCGCGAGTCCGCTCGAAGGCGGTCGATGCTGCTCATCGATCCTGAAAAAACGAAGCTTCGCTACGCGAAAGCTATATTATACCCTTTGCTGCTTTCCACATCAACGATTCGCCTCACGTTTATTACGACCGACGACGGGTTTGACCGCATATATGTGGATGATGACTATGTTGAAATTCCTGACAGATGACACGGCTATGCGTTTACGTTTGTCCCCCTTATTAAAGCATACAAAATGTTCTCTAATATTATGTATCTTTATTTCAATAATGAATTTTTGTCGGTGAATTAGAAGTCGATTTTTTTCTCAAGCGAGATTTTGGAAGAGCTCTTGTTGCGACTATTTAGGGTTTAGTGAGAGTATATACGAATCAGGTAAAATTAATATATAATATAATCTATCAAAAACTAAAATTTCTTTATAAAAAAATATAATGCAAAATATATAATTTATCAATATGATATAAATTTAATATTATAATCTGTTCTCGGAATTAATCGCTAAAAGTATTTTTATATCTAATTTTAAATGTGTACATGAATAGATAGTCAAAAAAGATCGTGCTCAGAGAGGAAAATTTTGAAGAACTTTCGACACACAAGTGCAATTTATGCATGACGTTATGCATTGTAAAACAAAAACGCGGCTTCATATTTCTCTCCGTGTTCTGCAATTCCTACGCAAAGTTGCGAAAATTTACGTAACGGGTGTTGACTTTCTTTTGACGTTGCTCGAGCCGTTTTGCCTTCACTTTGAACAGAGCCAAGTAGAGATACTTTCGGTGCCCGAGGCGACATAAATAATAGTGTCTCTCTGACATGACACAGTCTTCTTCTGATCTAATGTTAAAAGTATCTCTCTTTCCCCAATAAAACAAAAATAATTTTTATATAATATATAATATATAATTTTTATATAATATATATTTTATATAATAAATCACGAAAATCAAAATGTCAGAATAATATACTATTGTTTTTTCATTATATTTTGCATTTCACTATTGTTTTCTTATTATATTTTGCATTTCACTTATTGTTCATAAAAGCATACAAACGGTACCCGATAAATAATACTGATTGTGAGCATAATAAATATCACAGTTTAAATAAATGTTATTACATAAATTTAAATATTAAATAAATGTTATAATTTTATTCTAGAGAATTTTTTTTTATATGGAGTCCATGCGTTCTCATGAAAAATTAAAATTAAGATAACTTTTAAAATCCTTCTAACATTTATCAGTATTTCTAGCAAAAGAGTTAATCGCGAGTATACTTTTTAATAGTAAAGGACACATTTTGTCAGTCGCATAAATCGCTTCTTTTTATTCTTGACAGGGTGAGATCGGCCCCAGAACGATACCCGGTGCCCCCAGGACCACCAGGAGATGGGCCAGCCTCCGGCAACATGTGAGCAGCGGCAATGACGGCGGTAAACCCCGCGTCGAATTGCTGTTCGATCCGCCGGGTTCCAAACCCTCTTCTACGCCATCCTCGCAACCAAACACGCCTAATACACCAAAAACACCGCACACCCCACCAATCAAGAAGTCCAATTGGGAGGTCATCGAGCACTTCACCGGCGCGCCGCGACCCTCCATCATTACAGTGAGTTGTCGAGCTCTTTATTGAATAAATACAACGAAAATGTCCATCAAATTGTAAATCAATATTTTTTAGATTTTTTAAATTAATACGATTAATACGTTCTAAAAATATACATTTTTGACCAAAGATTTCTAATCAAAGAACTAAGAAAAATAGCAGTTCTTTCATATTATAATATCTGAGGAAATAAAATATATCGATTTAATTGCTAATTAATAAAGATTAAAATAAAATTACAGTCTGTTACAGTGAGAATTACAAAACTTGAGCTTATAAAAAAACTGCTCGAAATGTGCAAAAAAAAAAAAAAAGATCAGGTGGAACTATATTTAATTATAAGTTCGTATATCCTTTATATTATTCAGTTATAATCAAGCGGCGAATGCCTGATTGCGCTAATTAAATTTTTAAATTGACTGAGCAATCATCAAAGGAATATTTATAATTAGTGAACAATTGTAGCTAGTGAATAATTTTGATATCTACCGTATTACTGATATTATTATAATAGCAATTAATATATACAAACATTTAGGTATTAATTATGTATCGATGTTTACTAAACCTTATAAGTAATTATACCAACCGCTATCCGCAGGATCAAATACCTAATAAACCCACGGGAAAACTGGATTGACTTCTACTTTAGGAGAACTTATTTTTTTTTTCTCCCGAAGAAGAGAGCGATCCATCTCATTAATTTTAATAAACTTTTCAAGCGTGATATTTGCGCAATTTGCGGAGCCTTTTGTAACGTTAATAACTAGAGATATCAGATTACGGAATTAAATGGAATTATTATAATCCTGATCATCTTCAGCAAAGCCGCTCGACAAATTATCATTTTCCGCAGATATATCAAATCTTTTGACGTTGCAGATGAATGTTTCCTCGTTATCGGACGGTTGGCTAAAAATTTCGAGTATCTCTGAAATAGAAGGTACTTCATTAACAACCGCGAGCACGTGACCGTGACGAATAATACAGCCGCACAGTATTTTCGCTGCACGCGCATCACGTTTCTCCATTACCGCGGCTGACTCCCCATCGGGAAAGCTACAAATCGTTGAACAAAACGAGGAAACGAGAAACGGTGCGGAAAGACAAAACCACTTCGTCAGATCCTTTCTCCCTTTGATGCGTCCACTCGATTTTCAAGAGGGAGGCGCGAGACATCGTGCATCACATTGCACGCGATGTCCCGATATTGAACTTTGCCAATAAACGACGATGCCTCTTTCCGTCGATATAACCGATATAAATTTCAATTCGCGCGGTTTTCTTTTCATGCATTTTATTTTTGTTTCGTTGTAATTTTTGTTATATTTATCATGGACCGGAATTTACAAATTGTTAGCTGTATTACCCTCATCGATATTAATATCACTTTGGCAATAAATGTTTGTACGCGATTTTTTAACGGCGAAAAGAATTGCGCAAATACGTGTAAAATGCGTCAAATTTAATAGAAAAAAATTATCAAGAGACATGGGAGGAGGGGGGACAACAATGCGGACAAACAAATCATAATTTCCTGCCAACAAAGGCGTTCAATGGATTCCTCTCGGTATGTGAGAGGAATAATCGTTACGAAAACTGTACACGCAACGATCGTCGTATGTACAAATAATCGCGCTGGGCTAGGTAACGATTATCGTATCACAGACAAACACCAGGCTACCACGTGTGCCTTTCGTTAAATCATATTAATGCATCGTCCATTTACCGTACTGTTTGCGCATTGAATCACTATACAGCTACAGGGTATCCTGGAATAAGTTGAAACGCGGATATACAATGGTTTGCTCCGCGATCAAATTCAATTCATCGCATTTCGCGAATTTCGAATGCTTACGTTCGATATTCTCGTAATCAAAGGATCTAAAATTAATTAAGTTTGAAATCTATTTTGAGCTAAAGGATGTAATATTCAATTATTTATTTTCGTCTCCAAAATTTAGTGTTCGAAAAAGAACCGTCATTTATAATCAGCTTATATGGTTCGAAAATTATTCTTATACGAAATAAAAACTTCACATATACACGTGTCCATTCCCCATTACGAGGGTAGATCGAAAAGTAACTTGGTTCAAAATAACAGACAACGATTTTAAATTCAAATTGGATTAAAAAGAAATAAAAAAAAAATGAAAAAAAATGAAAAAAATAAAAACATGTTACTTTTCGATTCACCCTCGTATTTTCGGGACACTTTGTATACCTCGATACACGAGTGCCGGTCTATTTCCAGGTGGCCAGAGGCTCGGAAGTGGGCATGGCGCCGACGACCGGAAGAGAGTCCATGGCGGAAGCTGCGGTGAACGCGGGGATCACGCAGCGAACGCCGAAATGCGCCCTGAGCAGGTTTCTGAGCTCATTATGCGGCTCGAATCGCTTCAAGAACTTGCAGGTAAGAGAGAGAGACAGACACTTTCCATGACGCGCGCATTCACCTCTCTCTCCATTTATACTACTCTTTTCCTTTTGCCCACGCTTTCGAGTAATTACTCGGATATCTCCGTTTCTAATGAGAGCGCCGGACTCGTAATTACACTCGCTCTGCAGTGCATCCGGTAAATATCGGATGAATTCGACATAAGCGTAGATTCGTTCAGTCAAAGTTGAAATGATTAGACGTTCTCCAGCAATCATGCGCCTGACAGTGCACGAATAAATCTACTTTCTATAATTCCCGAATGGCTTTACCGAGAAAGTATCGGAATAAAAAGGGTAAAATGAATCTAAAGTTAAACGTATATATAAAGACATATCGTGATTAGCTAAATTAAAATTGCTCCAATTTCCTCAATGTAACTCGTAATAACTGTCTACATTTCTTGAAAATAATTATGTGGGATGGTAAATTCTGCTAATAGGTCTAACGCACCTATAATGACCCACTTATAGTGAATATATCTCGATGTTACTCCTGATATAAATATTTATTTTAATTATTATAAATAATTTCAAAATTAACAATTTTTTATAATCTATCTGTGTGTAATAATTTTTTAGTCATAGCTTATAATAATAAACTTCTCACGATTTACGATAAAAAATAACGAAACTATTTTATCTTCAACAAATACAAATACTTTATAAGACGTTATTATATATATTCTATCTCCGTGTTTAGTAATCAATTTTTCTCATCTCGATAAATGACGTGATTCTTCGAAGAAGCTGTCACTAACAACGAGCAACCCAACAATAGCATCTTGGCGCTATTTGAACGGTGGCGACATTCCTTGTCTTGTTATGCAAATCAATGACATTATCAGGGATTAATCTAAGCTCGTCATGCAAAGGCACGCACAAGCGAAGCGACGAGCGTCGACGGCGTGGATTGACGTGAGCCGTGCCTTGCATAGTAGTAGTAATACGCGAGTTCGGTCAGACATGCCGGCGAAGAGACGGAATGGAGAGAAGAGAAAAAAAAAAGGGAGAACACAATTTTTACCGAGAGCAAAATCGCGCAACAAGTTTCAGCCGCGTGAAAATCCGTGACACTTCGTAAACGCAAATTTAATAATAATTCATCTCACTCCTCGCGAATATACATATTTCGGACATCATCGCGCCTGCAGGTGCGTGGTGTTATACGCGGTTGTACGTCGGTTTTGCGCGATGGAAAATACAAACGCCTGGCGAAGATCCCGATATACATGCGAGGATGCAAAATCCAACCGGCGGTTAACGCGTTGAACCCTTCCCTGCCCGTAGGGCTCGTACAGAAACATATCGAAATGTCTCACCCGTCAAATGCAGGCCACGCTTTAACAAAGGTTCCGATATATGGAAATATCGCGCAACTGTTTTAGGATACTGAGTATGCGAATATTATGATCGCGAAGAATGAATTCCGAGTCGCATTTATTTTGCATTGTGATCGTAATGTAATTTCAAAACTGGGCCGTGAAAAATTGCAAAGAAAAGCTTTGTTTAATGTTATCTTTCTAATATTATAAAATCGCGTATTTGTGGAACTGATACTTAAAAGATTCCGCAAGAGATGCTTTTTCCATTCTACGCTTTTTATATTTTTAATGTACAGGCTGCGTTTATTTATAGCTTGTCGTTAAAAGAGTTTGTATCTATCTAGAAAAGGAAAAAAAACTTAGAATGTGTAAAACCATACACAGTTGCTTTGTTAGACAACTCTTTAAAAACAACGAAGTACACTATCTTGAGAACTTCCCGAACGGTTTTCCAGCAAAACCGACAAACTCAACCATTTATTTGCCAAAGAGCCATTTCTTCTACGCTATTTACGAAAGTTTAATATATTATACTTGAATCGAAACAAACACATTTTTCATACATTTAGCAGTTTCGCGTCGCTCTCTTGTAAACACACAAATATATTATTTAATTTTATAAATAATTTCGTCAAACTTTTAATTTTCTTGACAAATTATTTTCTTCGTCCATATAATTCCAAAATCCGGATCCTGAATTTCATATAAGACAAGCTTACTGATGAGCATTTCACTGGAATTCGAGTAACCAAATCATTAAAATTGATCGCAACTCAAGACTCTTATTCATTAACCGCCGCTATAAATTGAAAGTAGTTCAAGTAAACGTTAAAGTAAACCTTATTTATTACCTCCTATCAATGTTACGTCAGTATACTGCGTTGCGATCTCCTTCAATAGTAATCGATTTTCTATTGCATATATTGTATAAATTCGATACATCTTTATATACCATGCGAAACTATTGTACTTTTCCTTATAACACACTAACAATATCGTTATCTTCCGTTAAAAGATTCTACACATATATTATTATCAAATATAAAAAGTAAATAAAATGCCAAATACAATAAGAAGGAATTAATAAATCTTGATAATAAGAACGATAATTGTCAAAAGTTAAAATTATAAACGACGGATTAAAATGTAAAATTAATATAAAGATTTCCAGACGCGAATTATATGACCCGTTTAAAGCGGACGTTGACAGAAATATACGTTTACAAGTCCACGTGGAAATTCTAAGGCGGCGACTCGTGAATTTAAAAATTGGCTCGCGATTGTCGCAGAAACGTGACCGAATAACAGAAGGAAAAAACAGTATGACTTATAATAACGTTCGTCTAGTGATTCCCGCGGGAATGATTTACATTGTCTGGCCATGTAGAAACCGGAAACCGGAATCCGGGAGGACGCGCGCCCATTTGATTGCATTCGAGCTATATTCCTGCCAGATTCGATGCATCGCAATATCTTCGACAGGCTGATTCGCTATCGTTTTTCCGATCGAATGGACGAATCTGAAGGGAATCTCTTCATCATTGTATCACGCTACCGTGTTGTGTCGTTATACACTCGAAAGACGAGATAAAATGCATCTCTTTATCGACATGTTAGAGCGAACGCCAAACTACGATAATAAATATATATCGACGTCATGTTTTCAAAACGAGATAATATCGGATGGTTTTAAATAATGTCAGAAATAATTCTCTCATTCGCAAACACAAATGTGATTAATCTGGTCTCGAATTTCCATATAAATACCGGATTAATTTTAAACTCGAGCTTTCACATAAACGTCGGAATATCAATATAGATTGTAACCAACAATAATACTTAAGAAATAATTAGTTTTCGCAAAAATTAACTCTTCTAAAAATACCAGCAGATAAAGTTTTATTCTATTTCTAACTGCGCGTGCTAAATTAGAAACTCAGAGAAGTTTATTTTTCTAATAAAAGATAGAAGAAAAATATCTATGACAGAAGTAATGATTATGACGAAGAATACTCGCAATTGCGAGCATTGAAACCCTGAATGTCTGTAACACGAGCCCGCAGGCGGACGAGAAAAAATTTGTTCTCAAAGGGTAACTGTATGTGATACACAAATGCATGCAAATGAAGGAAAATTCTCAATGAAATTATGCATTGCGAGAATATATCGGTCACGCACATGTGATTATTTAATCGCTTTCGGAAGGCGTGAGAGATATAATTTCACCTGACTACATTTGACAATACTTCGATTTATTTATTTTTATGTTTGTATCTGTTTTTAATTAACTTTATCTAATTTATTTTGTAATATATTCATACGCGCGTGAATTATTATTCGACTTTGTTATGTTCAGGATCAATTTCTTTGTTTATTATTGACGTTTTTATTTTTATAATTATATTCTTAAAGGTTTTATTTTCTAATTATTCTAAAGTTATTCACTCTTTATAAATTATTTTTTTCAACATGGGTGTATGTACGATAACAGTAAATAAAAGGATATTTGACTTCAACTAGAGATTTTAGTTTTTAACAATATTTTAATATGATTTTATGTAAAGTATTAAAACGATTGTTTAAAAGGAAACGGCTGATTAAGCTTTCAATAAGGTAAAATCTATTACATATTATACAAAAACATCATAGATTAAAGGAATTGTGAATATATAGGCACACTATATATTCACGGGATATCAATGCCAAAGCAATATCACGCTAAATTAAAAATCATCGTTTGATTCATCATTAATCATTGGATAAAAATATACGATGAAATATTTATTACATAAAATCGAAAATTATTAGTCGAATTACATGTTTAATAATTACACGTTTGCGTTACACCCATATCGAAAAGGAGTGAATGTAATTCCCAAATGCATTCGTAATGTTATTCGATCACGCGCGTGCATTTCACATCATGATGGAAGATTAAAATATTAAACGAGACCGAAATGATGAATGGACCGATATCCTTTGTCGACAGCTATAACTTCTGATAACTCTCGCTGACAGCCACCAAACATTCCGACTGTATTGTCGATGACAATAATTTTTTTTCTATTCCATTCGAACGAAAGAGGAGGGAGGGGAGGAGAGACACAATAAGATCTTGTCTACCACCAATTTTGGAGAGACCAGCGAGAGAAAAATCGAGCTGCAATCTATCGATCGGGCAAACTACAATTGTTATCCATTGGTAACATTTTCTCTCGATTCCTTTCTTCGCATGCCGTGTCTCTCCGTCGAATTGGATTTAATCTGACTCAATTTTTACGCTATAACAAAACTAATAATAAAACCAATAATGTATGCTAGTGAAACATCATTTGACGATTTAAGAGAAAAATCCTGAGAAGGATATTTGGATCATGCATTGATCGAGAAATATTAAGACATCGAATAAGAACTAATAAAGAAATATATATCGAGAACCGGATATAATCCATGAGATAAAAGCAAAGCCGCTTAAGATGGGCAAGACATCTTCAGAGGAGTAACAATAATATAATGATAAAGCTCGCGTGGGAAGAACAACCGGTAGGAAAAAGACTTTTGGGACTATGGCGAGATAATACCCGAAGAAACCAGCAAATACTTTGCATAGGAAAATGGGAAAGTGCCCATCCAGGACTGTAATATGAATAATAATAATAAGATTAATTTTTATACTGACACTATCGAAATATTACTCGAGGGGGATGTATAACGTATCTCTGAAATACCAAGCGCTGCATTGCAGGCGTATAAATAAAAAATGTGCTAAGGAGCATACGGAGTAGAAAAACGTATTAAAATAAAATTTTATCATTTTGGGGTTTTCTCATTCCTGCCTCACGTCGTTCGACTTAAATTTGATTAAGGTCCATTTTCGACGGACACTCGGCGATTCTTCGTGGATGGCTCACGATTCGCGTTACATACAAATAGCAGCAGCCTGTGCTTGGATAACGGCGATACGCCGTGTAAAATTCAACGCCATGGTAATGCAATACGTCTGCGAGTAAGTCTCTGCAAATGGATATCGTTGTGACGATATAAATTACAAACCGCTTTCCGCCATCTTCCGAAATATCCCACATCAATATCCGTTTTTCCCGTATATTTGTATAATCGTGATCGATATATCAAATATATGCATATCATTATTTTATATACCTAATATATAGTTCTTTTTGTATCGCGTCTTTTGTCTTATTTCATTCAATTCGGGACATAATGCATAAATATAGCATTATGCATTGTAATTACATGTATATCACGTAATAAAAAAATATTGCGTTCACACACATATACGTTCCCACTCATATATTACATCATAAAATGCGTATTTTATGGAGAGCATATCGCGAATGTCATAAATATAATATTATAAAATCTTGTTAAATGGACATTTTTCTTTTCGTCAAAGCTATGTGTTTAAACATATACGCAAAATGTATGTTATAGTAAATGCCGACGGAAGCTTATTATAAAATGTATTACGAGCAAACTTCAATTGCTTCCAAAAAAGGCACGTAGTTGCAAATATGGTGTGCCATAAAAACAAAAGAACAGAACTATTTTATAAGTTTCCAAGCAAATATAAATCGCATCTCGCGCAATAATCGTGAATCTATTTTATTCGCATATTATAATTATAAAATTATAATTATTAGATTTATAGAAATCACGTAGAAACTTTCTGCTTTGCACATATATATTTTTATATTATATATTTTTTTTAAATAAATTTAACATAAGCGTTGTTAGATAATAATCTAACAACGCTTATGTTACATCTATTACCGAACTTTGATATCTATTACCGTAAATTAAAATAAAATATAATTTGGGGATAGCAAAAAGAGAAAGACAGAGAGAGAAAGAGAGAGAGAAACTTTGTTATTCAACATATCATTTGATGATCTACTTTCAAAAATGCTTTCATGTGCGAATGTAATGCATAATCCATTGTGTGCAACTTAAAGGGAGAGAAGATGCCCTGCGAAAATTTGTGACGTAAATCACAAATATAAATCGCGGTGCATTTCTCAGTATACTCTCGTTTTGTGCAAACTGGCTCAAATTCTGGTTTTCTCATGATGGTTGAAAAATAAGGATCTCGCCAAGAGAGGTTTATTAATGATGTTATCGCCTCTCCGATCGCAAACGCGTCGAGTGGAGGCTCGGAAAAGACGGATACTGCGTGGGGATCGACTATCGTGGGGCCCGCGAATGCTCTTCTGAGATTAACACGCTCTCGAATATTACTTTCTAATCGCTCCTAATAGCTCACTGAATTTCACATCGACTTCACAACGTTCGAGACTCGACTCGGTTTGGGCCGCGCGAAGGAATTTCGGCAGCGTCGATAACTACTAAGAGGCCCCCCCGTTTACAGTCCAACAGAACGCATTCTGTGACTTCGTTGCTGCGATTAAATGCCGGAAACAATCGTGACGGGATGATAAATATTGAATGGATTAATTTGATCGCGAGGAGAGGCATCGAGATGTAGAGAAAAGAGGATCGGAATAAATGTTTTTAAGTCGTCTCGCGCACTATATTTGTCGGCGCTGCAATTTCGTTTCCTTCATAGAGAAAGAAGGTCCCAGGGGGTGGAAAGGAAAATTAAATGCAGTTTTAACTTCAATGTGTTCCTTTATATATGTGATTAAAAAACCTATGAGTTATAATGAAATGTCCTCCACCTACCGCGCTGGTTTTCATTAGCCTTTTCTCTGATTCTATTTTAGAATATTGTTAACATTTTTTAAATAATATTAATATGTGTAAAGTTCATATACCTTGTATATTATTATTATACATACTTTTCTACATATTTCTAAAATCCCTTCTATTTCATGAAATTAAAATACTCACTTCATCTGTATCATAAAACATAATACTATTAATTTACCAATGAATTTTCGATTAACAAAACATGTGGCAAATCTGTGATCATGTTTCAGGTTGAAATGCTGTACCAGCGCTACTTCCTACGTATGAATCAAAGTAATATGATACACGTGCTCATTCTACTAGTCGGTTTGGCGTTCGCATTGGGCCTACTACTTATCGCGAAATTGATGCTGAACGATAAGCCGCTCTTCACGATTTTACAGAGACCTGAAAATTTGTCCCTTGCTGTCACTCTAGTGACTTGTATCACTGTTTACGCCGGTAAGAGAATTTACAATTGATTTTAACTACCAGAATCAAGTTTGCACATTTGCTTCTCCAGATTTATCCAAAAAGTTCTCGCTATAATAAAACTTTACTATTTAAAAGTTTTGAATAGAAATCCTTTAAAATTTAAAAATTTGTTTAAATTCCACTCTTTTTAAAAAAGATCAAGCAAAAAAGTATTTTCCATTAGAAACATATATAAAAAAATTATTTTCGAATCTATTTTATACAATTAAACTATATTAATATTTTGTTACGTATATATATGTCTAAAATTTAATGCAAAAATATTTTTTAAGCTTTCGCAAACTTTCGATATATCTGCCAATGAAATATCAACCCATCTTTGCACGAAAATTTAGAGTTCTCGTAAAATATGCAGGGTAGATATTAGAATTGCACTGAAATGCACATAGCATTGTCAAATATCACAAACACTAAATGACATGCATTTTATCCGACACGCAGAGGAATGTCGCTCGTTGTCTCTTCTGACGAGCGACGTTATGTTTCCATGCTACTCCGCCATAAATAATGCACGGAGAATATTACAAGTGCTGTTTTCTCCCGGAAGCATCAGAAAGTACGACAGAGCTCGCTTATCGCATCGCAAAGCTCATTCTTTTGTCTCTCCTTCCCGAGATGAACTTTGACCGAGCAATATTGCATCAGAAACTTTAATCAAGTCTCTATTTGTAAAAGCTTATTTGTGAAGTCACATAACGCGGAAACTTGGAAAACTATGATAAATGCTGAATCTATCTGAACATTTTAATTATAGAAATGTAGAAATATCAATCTTAAATTAGTTAAAGAATCTATTATCTAAATCTCATTTATCTCGCATTAATTTATGCGAGCAGCCCTTTTGATACCCCTGAACATTTCCTCAATCATCTTTTAGGGTTAAAGCTTGAAATTCCAAAACAATGACAACATTTTCTCTTCTAGTTTTGGTGGCAGCCATCTCCAGACCGGGCATGAACGAGATATGGCTTGCGGGTGTCAGCGGTGCAGTGCTGATCACTCTGCTGGCCCTGCAAGTGACCTTGAGTATTTATCTGGCGCACCTGCACGAGACAAGCCGCGACAATGCCGATGATTCGTCATCCTCCAGGCCGGAGGATCTTCGAGCCGGTGGACCCCTCGCCGCCACTTTGGCGGCCTGCTTCTTCATCTATATGGCCTACGCTCTTCTGCCGATCAGACTCAGGCACGCCTGCATCGCCGGGATCGTCTTCTCGGCCGCTCATCTCATTGGAGCCATCCTGCTTTACCCAGATTATCCATCCATGACAGCACACGTGAGTTTTGCCATTCTTCGTAGTAATTTTCACGCATTTCCTTTTGTATATATGTATGTGCATAGATTAGATAGAAAATGATGTCGCTTTTTAATTTTTTCAATAATATTAAAACTCGGTTATCCAATTATATGAGATATGAATAATGAAGATAAACCATCTTGTAAGTTCTCGAAAACTTTTTAAGCTTTCATTCTAAAAATCCTTAATATTGCTTTTCGATGTTTAATAAAGTTTGAGAGATTGTCATTTTTATTGATCATATAATTGAATATTGAATCTTACATAATTAATTCCGGATTTGACGATTCTTATAATCTGACATTCTAGATTGAAGTTTTTAATGGATTCTTAAAAATTCATGTTCCGTATCGCAATAATCTAAAAGTACTGTACCATTAGCAACAGATCTTCTAAAGTACAGAAATATTTGATAATAGATATGCTTGATTAATTTAAATGATTCAATGTCAAAAATATTTTGCTTCGTTGCGATCAATATGACAATTATAAGCTGCAAATTCGCGTTAATTAGCGATCAAGTTGTACATATACTACTATGTATCGTATAGCAATTAGCAAAAGTAGGTTATACCCGATGATATTAATTAATCAATGTTACGCAGAACTGTACAATAAATTGTACGTTTCCGTATAATTCCGGCATATTGCCGGATCTCAAACCGTATTTACCATCAAGATATTAATTATTTGCAAATTATACGAAAATATTACTGTAGAACATCCTGCGTGTGAAGTATTATCCCCAAAAATTCCTTAAAATTTTTTTCAGATTAAAAATTCTTCAGAAAAATTAAAAATTGCTTAGAATTTTTTTTATGTTTCATGTGTTTTACACGTTACAGATATTTTTTCTTTGTTATATAATTTAAAAATTAACGAAAAAATATAAAAACTCGCTAGATCAAACACATTTACAATTTCTATTTTTATTTTATTATTATTATCTTTTATCTGAAATTTATTCGCGTTATAATTTTCGGTTTAATTCAATATTTAATACTATAATACAAATACAGAATTTTTTATCACGTGAAACAAATATATAAAATATTTCTTAAACGTCTTGTGTCGCGACACATTGTAATTGTCAGCGTGGCAAATGACGGCGTGAGAACAACAAAATAATTATTAACCAAATTGCCCCCCGTAGTAAACACACATCGTCAGAGAAATAGGTAGAATGCACGAAGTGCGTGACATAATATCCAGCGAACGTACACGTATCCATTTATTAACGGCGCACAAAGTGGACACAAATACCCAAAACGAGGTGTGTGCTTCGCAAATAGCTGGCTTTCCAATTGAATTGGAAATCTAATTAGAACGAGTCTGCCCCGATATTTGTCGGAGCACGTTTTGACATGTTATTTAATCACATATTTATCGTCAAGTTTAACACAAGTATATTTGCAAGTTCAATATAAAAGAAAAGAAAAAAAGATAATAAATAAAAAAAAAAACAAATTATCGCCATCAATATTAATGAGATCGAAATATTTATTACGAGAAAAATATTTCTGAATCACTTGCAAAACTTTTAATTACGAGTTACATATATAAAAAAGTAAAACAACAGATCTCTGTATCAAAATGTTTGTGATCTTAAATAACTTTCCAAGAACAAACTTTGGAGAATCCATTTAACGATAATTATAATTAAACAAACGCGCGCGTCGAAACAAATAAATCAATCATCGAGATGGCATTTGTATGTGTGTGTGTATGTGCCTATTTTTACGCGACTGAGTTCATTACAAATCTCATTAGCTTTCTCATTACGATCACTGAGAGCATGCCATTCTCATGAGAGATAAAGAAATAAATCAACAAAAAGCTAAAAGGAATGAGCTGCGAGATGTCAACCCTGTTTATTGCGAAATCTTGTGGAAAAGGTTTAGTCTTATTGGATCTCCTTCCAGGTGGATATTTCTATCTGTCAACCCGCTTGATTTCTTTTTCCTTCCCCTTTTCACGCACTCTAGTTTTATATTACATCGAAAACTCAGAATCCTATGTAATTAAAAAGTATTATGATTGCACTCTTTGTTGTCATCGAAAAAACAATCTATTCTTTAAATTTAAAGACAACACCATCGTGGTGAATGCAAACAAATTAGGTCTATTAATAAGTAAAATAATTTAATATTAATAAAAAGTCACATATTATAAGATATTTGATATCAATAATCATATACATATATAAAAGTCATTGAGAGAAAACTTGAATTAATTATAGCGTTTTTTATCTTTAAAATTTTTAAATGATTAATAAAGAAAAATTATAAAGATAAAAAGTGTTTTAAATAAACTCTATTAAATTATCAAAAAATGTTACTTATATTTTTTTCACGATATCTTTTAAAAGTACAAAAACGAAATTGTTGAAAAAATATAACTAAAGTGTTTATAGTCGATAGAGAGATTCAAGATAAAAATGATATTGGATTAAGTACCATTTAAATAGATTAGCGAAAACTGTTGATTTAGATAAAAGGAATGTTATGTAACGGATCCTATATCGTAATTTCATTCAAATGCAAACTTTCTTGTTGAAATTCGCGATGCGCGTTTTACGCCACCATCGGCATATTAATAATTCATTTAACTGGTTATTTTCACATTCAAGAGAATAATATCATGATTTCATTGATATCACGATTTCATCGGCCGAGCACACGTCACGCTATAAAAAATAAATCGTAATCGCTTTTCGCATCGCCGGATAAAATACATACAACGATTCTAACATCGTAAAGGACCTTAATCTTTTAGGTAGATCTCGCAATAAAAGATAACTTTTTAGTTATTAAAGAACGTTTCGTAAAGCGATTTAAAGTGACACGCGTAAAAAGAAATCACGCGTTTCTGCAACGCGGGTGCGGTTAATTAACCAAGTGCAGCGAACGCGAGTCACTTTTGCAAGAGAGATTCGGAGTACTATCGCGAAGAATCGTATTAGCTCTTGAAAAAAAGAGCTGTCAAGCTATTATAAATTAATTTAGGATTACGATCCAGTCGTTACAAGAAATACCCACGTGATTTCACAATTTTCTATTATCACACTATTACAATATCCTTAAATATTAATCAGTGAAAAGTTAACGTTGTATTCTTGCAGCTGAAATTTTTTAACGTTGCGAAAAAACTAATGAAATTCATTTATAAATCTTGAGTGAATTGTCTTCCTTCTTCTTGTGCGGTACCCGTGTCTGGGCATTCGCGATCCCTCTACATATATTTACGGTGTGCGCCTTTTTATAGTATTCCGCAAATATGGGAAGTTTAACGCCGGTTCAGAACGACCTAAAAAATTTGAGAGCGATCGAATATTCGATATTTCTGGCTGGAATTGGAACCTGAGCCTTTTGGCACAGAGATCAGACGCACAACTCTCTGCGCCACAAACGAATTGTTTTTACTTGAAAAATAAATCTGAGTGTTATTAAAAGTTTGAAATTTGCGAATAAACTGCAAAATGGGAATGTAAACAAGAAATACCCACAAATATATATATATATATATATATATATATTGGATGATTGCATAAGTTCGTGCCCGATTTTCATAGATGGCATTAAGTTA